GGGGGGGGGGGGGGGGTTGGTGGCGGTGGCTGGAATGTCCACTAGAGTAGATGAGAAAATAGTCTGGGAAACATCTAGATGGAGATTAGCACCTTAGAGACAGGATATGAATAAAGCTAGAAAGTAACTGATAACTATCCTGCAGATACTCTGCAGCGGTGACTAACCTGTAGGCTGTAACCTGCCCTCATTAAATCTTACCCAAAGTATTCTTTGATCTGCAGTTTAGTGCTCCACAGTCCTTCACTTTCAGCCTAATCGCTTTCTTCCTTGAACAAAAAACTGCTTGTTTAATTGAAACATGAAACTCTTACCTTTTCACTTTTTTTTTTTTGGAGACGGTCTCACTATGTCACCCTTGGTAGAGTGCTGTGGCATTACAGCTCATAGCGATTCTCAAACTCTTGGGCTTAAGCGATTCTTGCCTCAGCCTCCCAAGTAGCTGGGACTACAGGTACCTTTTCACTTTTGCCCTCTGTATGCACGCCCCCCAAAACCCCTAATAAAAAGGCCTTGAATAATCAGGTGGATGTGGCATCTATTAGCCTCCCTAGGGAATGATACAGTGTTGTCTGTCATGGGTCAAAACATTGTATGTGTAAATTTCATAGCACCTTCTCTCCCTTTGTCTGCCAGACCCGGGTAAAGTCTCCTTGCAGAGGAACTCCCAGTCTGCGGCACTGGGACTCAATTCCACACACAGATACTTGTACACAATTGTTCGTAGTCACATTATAACAAGAAAACTGGAAATTATCAAATGTCCAGTTCATGAGTAGATAAACAAAAAGTGGTATGTCCACACAGCGGAAGCTGTCTGGCAATAAGAAGGAATGAGGTACTGATGCGGGCTGCAACACGGGTGAACCTCATAAACGTGCTGAGTTCTCTCCCTCTGATGGCTGTGCAAAGAGGGAAAAAACAACCCACATGCTAAGTAACAGAAGCCAGACTCAAAAGGCCACGTATTGTATGATTCCAATTATACAGAATGTTCAGAAAAGGCAAATAACTATAAAGATAGAAAGAGATTAGTGGCCCCCTGGATCTGGGGTGGAAACAAGGAATTACTGCAAATGGGCACAGGGGATCTTTCTGAGGTGATGGAGATGTTCTAAAATTGGATTGTGATAGCTACACACTTTTGCAGCTTACTAAAATGGTTGAGTTGTACACTAATGTAGTTTTTTTTTTTTTTTTGGAGACAGTCTCACTATGTTGCCCTCAGTAGAATGCTGTGATGTCACAGCTCACAGGAACCCCAAATTCTTGGGCTTAAGAGATTCTCTTGCCTCAGCCTCCCATCTGCTGGGACCACAGGCACCTGCCACAACACCTGGCTATTTTTTTTTTTTTTTTTGCAGTTGTCATTGTTATTTAGCAAACCCTGGGCAGGGTTTGAACCCGCCAGCCTTAGTATATGTGGCCGGCGCCCTAACCACTGAGCTACAGGTGCTGAGCCACCATTCATAGTCTGTACATTCATCAGCCACGTCCTTTCCAAATACTTCATTGACATTTTGAGCTGTCTGCACCGCATTGGTTCCACAATGGAATTCACATTCAAAAATAACACAAATTTACTTATCCAAAATTGCTCTAGAAATTTTTTTTGAAAGATGATCGCGAGCCAAAATGTACATTTTGGACAAGGATTAAAAAAAAAATTAAAAAACCCAAAGACTGTCAAAGTGAAATGTCAGACTTACGAACAGTCAAACTTAGTACTTAAGGACATCAGATATTTCTTACTTGATAACCTACTGCTTATAATCATGGGTCAGGGTAAAAAGTAAGTTTGAAAGCCACTGGCTTTGGGAAATTAAAACTGGGGCTCAGGGCGGCATCTGTGGCTCAGTGAGTAGGGTATCAGCCCCATATACTGAGGGTGGCAGGCTCAAACCTGGTCCTGGCCAAACTGCAACAAAAAAATAGCCAAATTGCAACAAAAAAAATAGCCAGGCATTGTGGCGGGCACCTGTAGTCCCAGCTACTCAGGAGGCTGAGGCAAGAGAATCGCCTAAGGCCAGGAGTTGGAGGTTGCTGTGAGCTGTGTGACGCCACGGCATTCTACCAAGGGCGATAAAATGAGACTTGTCTCTACCAAAAAAAAAAAAAAAACAACTTGGGCTCAAATCCAAGCTCCCACATCTCTTCTCATCCCCCTTGCAACTGGGATTTGAGCTAGTCCTAACTTCTCTGAGCCTCAGTTTCCACAATGAGTTGAAAATGCTAAATGCTGAGTACACAACGTATTAGAAGTCGTTCATACTGTGCCTACTCGTAGGTTTCCAGTAACATTTGCTAGTTCTGCTGAGGGCTGATTGGGTGGGATTTGTGTATCTAAGCTTTTAGTGCCTGGCACTGGTCTAGATACTGGTAAATACAATAAACAGACAAAAAGTTGAGCCCTTGTGGAGTGTTATGTTCTATTAGGCAGTGACAATAAAATGCTATCTCACAGGAGTATCCAACCTTTTTTTGTAATCTCTGCTGCACACTGGGAGAATGAGTTGTCTTGGGCTACATGGTAAATACACAAACACAGCCCGGAAAAGCTGATTAGCAATAAAAAGGTCTGTGGGTACTTTCCGTGATATCCAATACCACAAACAAAAAAAGACCTCACAAAATCAGCATGTAGCCCGCAAGGCCACAGGCTGGGCAGAGTTAAAGTTACACAATGACTGCTATGAAAAACACATGTACAGGGCGGTGCCTGTCGCTCAGTGAGTAGGGCGCCAGCCTCATATATTGAGGGTGGCAGGTTCAAATCCAGCCCCAGTCAAACTGCAATAAAAAAATAGCTGGGCATTGTGGTGGGCACCTGTAGTCCCAGCTACTTGGGAGGCTGAGGCAAGAGAATCAAGTAAGTCCAAGAGTTGGAGATTGCTGTGAGCTATGACACCACAGTACTCTACTGAGGGCAACAAACTGAGACTCTGTCTCTAAAAAAAAGAAAAACACACGTATGACCATGTTGTAACTCAGGAGTGCTGGGGACTGGGAATTGGGAGAGGGGATTTTATAGTAAGTAAATGGGTTGTTCTGGGCAGACAGACGTGACATTTCAGTGCAGCTGGCAGCTGTGGTGCTATCTGGAAGGATGGGATATGACAGGCAGGATATGAGGGGGCCACTGCAAGGATTTGGGCCTCCTCTCTGGGCAGAATGATGGCGGTGGCACACTGATCAGTAGTGTTTTGAGCAGAGAAGTAACATGAGCTGAGTTCCCTATGCAGTAGGCACAGATGGCAAAGATGGGAGGAGGGGCAAGGCAGGAGTCCGGGTCAGCACCAGGTGGTAGTGTGGAAGTGGGGGGAAAGTGTTCAGTGGTGAGAGCCTTGCAATGCAGAAACTGACAAGATAGCATGTGTGACCGTGGACTCTAGGGTGACACAGCAAGCATGTGGCCTGAGAATGTGGAGGGATGAGATGATCTTTAGCTGAGCGATGGCCTCTGAACTGGGCGAGCAGGGCAGACAGTGGATAGTGGCAACTCTGGGGTGAGGGGGAGCAGAGGAAACTGACAAGCCACATCCAACTGACAAGCCCACTCCTGGGGGCCCTTTAAAAAAAAGAGAGAGAAGTTCATAATCAAATTCTGAGAAAGCAAAGAGGGGTAGACCAGTCTGAGTCACTTACTTTTTAAATGAAAAATGAATGGTTTGGTGTTATAGAGAAATCTATAAAGGAAATCAATCTTGGTTTCCTGATCCTTAAAGATCAGTCACACCATTTGTTCTTCTGAGAGCATCAGATTCCTTCCAAGAACAAGGAGAAACTCACGGGCAGATTACAGTGGGAACTTCCCCTTAACAAAGTCAAGGTTACTTCAAAGCACAGCCTGTGGACTTTGCACAAGAACAGCAAAATGGTGAGGCAGAGATCCCACAGATGTTTTCTAACTAGGTTTTATTTTGTTTCCAATATTATCAGCAATGATACAGGAGTACTTCAGGCAAATACATCACCTTAAATACATCAGAGAAAACTCACTGTGTCAAGCACATCTTGCAGTCTGGCAGATGAACACAAAAACAGAGAACAAAGTTAGCAGCATTAAAATAAAGTGCTTTCTGCCACACTTCTTTTAGAAAGGGTCTCTCCCTCTGTGGTATAAATTTAATTTTACTTATTGGGTAAGAAGCTCGAAATTTCATTCATTCCCCAGGGGAAACATTGAAAAAAAAATTCTTATGCTTGTTCTAAGTTCTTTGTTTTTTATTTTTTTCTTTCTTCAAAAAAAAAGAGCACAAAACCCATTTGAATTGTGTGACATTGATTTTCCCTGACAGGCTGTGAGGTGGCCTCATCCATCCAGGCCCAGCAGACACTCAGAACATCCTAACTGCAGGTTAACCTTGCCAGAGTCCATCACTTTGTCCCACGCAACAGTGTAGACTGAGGGTTTGAAGCACAAGCAGGTATGCGGAGCACATGTCACCTGTGCCCCCCAGTGCCCAGGGGCCACCAACTCACTTCCCCAGAGCTGGGTAATGGCTAGATCCGAGCTGCGCTGCACACTCTGCGGGGCCCCTGCCTGAGGAGCTGCTTTCTGGGAGAGATGCTGCTTACTTCCAGGAGCTCTCTGACCTGTGCTGCCAAGGTCCCAAACACCGTCTTCCCCACATAGTTAACATTTTGGTGACAGGAGCCTACCCCCACTTAGTCACAATCCGAAAAATTAACAACAGGAAACAATTCTCAAAGTAAACATGAGGACAAGTGTGTCAGTCAAGGCTCTGGGGACCAGGGAGGTTCGGAGAACAGGTATCACATAGCTTCCCACACTGCCCCTTTGGCCAACTGCAGTCACTGGCACAGGAAACTGAAGTCCAGTTGATTGGTGGCCAAGGGCAGCTTGGGGCATGGCTAAGGTTGGAGGTGGAGCCGTGTCTCCTAAGGGGCATAGGAGTGGTGGAATCAAATTAGTGCAGTGGGGGCGCTTGGGCCCATGAGCTCCTCACACAGCGAGGTCAAATGCGGGGCCTGTTCTCCAGCCATCCTGGGTGCGGCCCATTCCCCTCAGCCTGCCACTGGGGTCCCCACCTCACCCTCCATCCCTCTACTACATCCTTTAACCACCTGCACCAAAACAACTTCCACTAACAATAACATAGGTCACCACAGGCAAGGACCAGAACTACAGCAAAGGAGGGGCAAGTCCCTCCTTGTCATGGAGCCGGCCACCCACTCCAACAGCACCATGCACCTGACACGCCCCTCCTGAGGCTCCGCCAGCTGCCTCCACCCACCTTCCCACCCTCCCAGCACAGGGCTGGCCTGGGTCTGAGCCCAGGGCACAGGCAGCCTCACCGCCCAGATGTGTCTGCGGGGGCTCAATGAACTCGAGGAAGTGCTGCGGCTGAAGGACCACTAGTATCAAGCCACCATCCTTCTGGGACAGACTTGGTCTTAGCGGAACTTTCTGATACTTCTGGGAAGAGAATCCAGTCACCCCTAAGGCAGCCTCTTTCCAGGTGTGTGGGGTGCACGGGCAGAGGAAGGTGGGGTGTCTGCCTGATACCCTGAGGGCCTCCATGTGGCGTCCTGCAAAGCTGAGCTGCTGAGACCATAGCAAGCGATCCAGAAATTTCAATCAAGACAACCTGACAGGAGAAAAGCCTTGACATGACTCCTTGGGAGGTACCATGTTGTCCATGGGCGTGTTAGAAAGTCTCCTTTAGGGGTGTGAGCCAGATCTTCCAGCACTGGCAGGCGAAGGAGGGGAGATAACTAGCATGGAGGGGCTCAAAACGGCACGAGACAGTGGGTGCTTCGTTCTCATGGTGGCACCAGGGCAAGGCCACACATGCCCCCAGGGGAGCCCACGCGGCTGGGCATTAGCAGCACCCCGTTCTCCACGCAGGCCCCACTGGGGCGCCCACTATCTGCTGGGCTGCAGGTACTGGTGCGTGAACATGTTGAGCTCGCTATCCAACCAACCAGCTTTATTCCTGCAAAGAAATGGTTACATGTGACCATGACAACACATCCTAGGTCACAGTAGGCCTATTTGCAGGAGCCCTCCTAAGGACACCTGACAAGTATCCTCATGTACTCCTCTAATAACCCTGTTTACTCGCCTTTTACAGGTGAGGAAAAGGGGGCCCAGAGAGGTTACAGAACGTCCCAAGGTCACACGGTTACAGGTGAGGAAGCTGTAAGTCAGGCTTTTATGCCTGACAAGCCCACCTCTGATTCACCTGGGGCCACGGGCAAGTCCCCAACCCCTGGGAACTCAGTTTTCCTGCTTGTCAAGCAAAGGGATCAGGTGTTGACACAAGGCTCTTTCCACACAGGTTCAACTCTGTCCCCATGGCTGCCAAGCAGCAGCAGACATACCTGCCCCCTCCCTCAGAGTCCCCAGTATGAACAGTACGTCCCTAGGAAACGGCTGTCCCGGGGTGGTGGGTAAGGAGGGGCACATCACACAGTCAAGAGAAGGGAACGCCCAGGGGGTTGGGGCTGACACCCTCAAGGCCGTCTCCCCTCAAGCTCTGGCACCCTGCAGGCAGGGGCAGGAAGTACAGGATCCCAATGTGCTGATGTTATCATGGGCTGAGTGGGCTGAGGAATTTTTTATTTTTTTTTTTGAGACAGAGTCTCACTGTGTCCTGGGCAGAGTGCCATGGTATCATAACTCACAGCAACCTCAAACTCTTGGGCTTGAGATCCTCTTGCCTCAGCCTTGTAAGTAGCTGGGATTACAGGTACCTGCCACAACGCCTGGCTAGTTTTTCTATTTTTAGTACAGAGGGGGCCTTGCTCTTGCTCAGGCTGGTCTCGAATTCCTGAACTCAAGCAATCCACCTGCCTCAGCCTCCCAGAGGGCTAGCATCACAGGCATGAGCCACTGCACCGCAGTAGGCCAAGGACTTCTACATTCGGTTCTGTGATTGGGTTAAGAAAGCCCACTTTACAGATTAAAACAATGAAATGAAGTGATTTGGCCAAACACGAGTGGCTGGAGAGAAGCCAGGATCCCTGACTCCTCACATCAATGTTTTTTCCAGCATGAACTGATAATGGAAGCTCCACATCTCAATAGAGACCCCGCAGAAATCTGGGCTCCAATCCGGCTCTACCAGCCCCCAGCCAAGTAACCTGCTTCACTGGGAGTAAATTGGGGATTAGGCCCCCTTCATGGGGTAAAAGAGAAATTTAATGAGGTATGTGTGGTGGGTCGAGCCCAGTGCCAAGAGAATCAGCGTACAGGGTGTAGAGGCACTCAGAGCGAAGCATTCCAGGACTCCACTCCTAGCCTGACCAGTCACTGTGGGATTCCAGACAAGTTACTCAAGTGCTGTAGGCACCAATTTTCCTGTTTTAAATAGTTGGTGATCTGCCCCTCAAGAGATGTGGAAGATTGATAGCAACAGCGCAAGTGTTCAATGCCTGAGGCCTTGCAGTGAGACAGAGGTGCCTGGGAGCTGCACCCTCTCCGTGCTGTCACAATGGCCCCCTGGGGTCATGCAGGCTGCCATGTAACTGCCTGCAAGCGCCTGGACAGCAGAGACGCTGAGTCTTGTTGAGCCTCCAGTACGGGCATTTCAGCACCCACTACCACGAGTGAGCCAAAACCCCACCAGAGAGGTGTGTCCATGCCCAGGACATGCAGCCCACTGCCCCAGCCCCCAGGCCAGCCTCACCTGAGCAGCTTTGCTTTGCTCTGAAGTGAATCAAGAACCTCAATTTTCTTGTTCATGGCCGCAATTTCCTGCTCTAGGTTCTCCCGGGTAACGTCAACTTGCTGACACAGATGAGCAAAGGTCCCAGACAGTTCCCTGAGGGAGAGAGTGGCAGGATCAACCCTCAAGTGTCTGTATGAGAAGGTCCCCATCAAGGTCCAAGTCCACCTACAGGGGGCAGTGGCTGGGCAGTCCACACCCTGCCAGCAGCTCTGCCCTGCGCCAGTCCTGGCTCGGCAGGCTCCTTTCCTCCTGCTGAAACCGTGAATAATCGGGACTTAAGCAGTGGAAGAAGCAGTGGCAAGAGCAGCGCACCCTCGTGTGGCCCAAGCGGGTCTTGCTCTGCTGCTCATCTGACAAGGAGACACATGACTATTTTTCAAGTCTCAGTTTCCTCATTTTGAGGAGAGAGATGTGAGTAAACATCTACTTCACAGGTAAGAGGTGTAAATAAAACATCAGGTGCCAAATGGTCCGCCATACAGCAATATGGAGAGGGAAACTGGTGCTGTCCCCCCAGCCCAGACTGGGCAATAGACCTTTATTGACCGAAGACACCCATGGGGAACAGGCTGGGCCTGAGAATCACCAAGCTACAGTCCAAGTCCTCTGTGGCAACTTCTGAGAATTCTTAATAGGGCTATCCCTTCTCCTCCCCCCTCTTCCTCTCCCAGGGACCAGAGACCTACCTGGTCCCAGTCCAGGACATAAGTTGTCCCTGAGAGACCCTCTCCCCATCCCCGGCCTCAACTGGCCCTGTACACTAAAAGGCCCAGAGTCCATGATGTCAGGACCCAGTGGTCTCCAGGCCAGGTCGGAAAGGAGATGGGCTGCTGGCCCCAACTAGAGTAAAGGCCCCCAGGGTGACGGGGCCACTCACTGCTGGACTTGGTGGCTGCAGTTGGAACCGGTGTAGCTGATGATGAGCTGCAGCTTCTCGCTGGCATACTCGACAAACTGGCGCTTGAAGGCCCTCTCCTTCGCCTTAGTGGTCCAGGTCAGACGCTCGTAGACATAGAGGAGGCCGTACAGCCCAAAGGAGAGGGCAATGAGCCGCCAGCCTACTGCCTTCCATACCTGCAAAGCCACATGGTCAGCCCAGCGTGGAACCTCTCTGTGACCTCTCCACCCCCTGGGCTTATCACTACCAGGACTGTCCCAAGAACTACAGCCAAGGAGCCCTGGTGTTTCTTCTCCGAGGACATCTCCTTTGATCCCTCTGAGACCAGAAGGGTAGGGACCATCTCCAGTTGGAAGGGAGAGAAACTCAAGGAGTCAGTGCTCCCCATGAGATCACAGTGAAGAATCTCTGAGACAGGAGGAAATACAGGGCTGACTGTGAAGAGCTGGGCTGATGCAGGGCCACCGCCAGAGCCCCCAGACCCCGCCGGCCCACATTCTGCCCCCCACCTTCCCGAGAAGGGCTTGTCACTGACCACTCCTCCAACAACGAGAATGCCCATGGAGGTCCTGGACGTCAGGGAGGCCAAGCCGGTAACCATGGAAACCATGAGTTCCTCTTGAGTGAGGGAGCCCTGTGGCAGCGGGGGCATGCTGGGGTTGGCTGGTGTCAGAGGGACAGGACGCTGAACCTGGAGAAAAGCCATGAGAAGGATGTTGGCAAGTATCTCGTTCATGCAAACCCTTGATGACCCTCAAGGTAGGGAAGCTGGGACAGGGACACAAGAGTGGCTCCTCAATTTCCAAGGGGGAAAATAAGCTTCGACTGTGGCAGAAGTTTTATTTAAGCTTCTTTTTTTTTTTATTTAAAAAGGACAGGATCACACCCAGGATGGAGTGCAGTGACACAATCATAGCTCACTGCAAGGATTTAAGCTTTGTAACCAGACCTGTGAGTGCTGTGGGACACTACAGGGGTAAGCAGTGTCCACCTTGGCACACTTAGGCAGTTTCCCAAATCGTGAGATGTGTATAAATGGCAGTACACATAAATAGTTTAGAAATGGGTGTTTTTAATTTTATTTATTTATTATTGTAGAGACAAGGAGTCTTACTTTATCACCCTTGGTAGAGTGCCATGGCGTCACACAGCTCACAGCAACCTCCAACTCCTGGGCTTAGGTGATTCTCTTGCCTCAGCCTCCCTAGTACCTGGGACTACAGGTGCCGGCCACAGCACCCGGCTATTTTTTTGTTGCAGTTTGGCTGGGGCCAGGTTTGAACCTGCCACTCTTGATATGTGGGGCTGGTGCCCTACTCAGTGAGCTACAGGTGCTGCCCAAGATGGGTGTTTTTTAAATCTAAATTTTAAAATGGTGATATATAGATGGATATTTTAATAGCCATCTACTTTAGTTGGTACATATTTACTTTAATGTGTATTAGAAAAAAATAGACCTAGTATTTTGTCATTTCACAAAACTACTGGTTAAAATAAGGCCAAGTTGATCTGTGGCAAAAATCCTGACCATGATGTACCACGTGCTGGCACACACTGCCACAGCCGCCAACCTCAGTTTTAGAATGATTTGCCTATCTGAAGGCAGGGTGCACACTGACCTCCCCAGATGCACCTGCAGTGAGAAACTTAGCTTGCCTGGTCATTGTAGCCCATCAAGGCCCGACGGGTGTTCTTGGGGCCCAGGAACCTATTCACCAGCATGGTCCACCCAAGTGAAAAATGGAACTCGATGTCCTCCTGGAAGTCGGCACATAGTTTGTCACAGTTCAGGTCATAGCTGAGGGAGAAGCATTGGCGAGGGACCAGCACATCTATCTGACTCCGCACAGACACAGGAAGGAGGGGTTTCAAGCCGTCTATTGGGAAAAGAAATGGAGAAATTGCAGGTCAGTTAAGCCCTGTGCCACACCAGGGCCCAGCCACTGGAACAAAGGCCACCAGCTACTTCCAAAGATGCCTGGAAACCATACACTGGACAAACAGCTGGTGGGACTGAGAATGGCACACTCGTGGCAGACAGGCCAGCTCTCCTGGGTGTGCAGACTGAGGCTCCATACCTGCTAGCCCTGCCTCATGGGGATCTGAGGAGACAGCTAATTCTCAGCCCATGACAGTTGCATGTGGTAACACAGGATGGATTTACACACAGCATCAACTCACAACACATACCCAGAACCTGCAGGTATTGGGTTGAATCATCATACAAGGTGACAGATAAGGAAAGTTGTTATGTCTTCAGCTTGGTCTCTGAATCCCATCTCTGGGCAGCCCCAGGTCCCAAGTTCTCTCATGGCACTGACCTATCATGTCCTGCTGCATGGTCTGCAGGGAGCTGGTGATGGCTGTAGAGCAGCGATCCGACATGTTTCGGCCCAGTCCTTCCTCTATATGGCGATGCAATTCCTACAGCCAGAAGAGGAAGGTGAGGAGAACAGCAACTACTTCAGGAACTCTTGCAGGGCCCCCTCCGCCACCCCCGCCCGGGGCTGAGCCACTGTTGGGGCCCAGCGAGAAACACCTGCTGCTTGCTCCACAACTCACATTTTTCTCTGAGACAAGAGTCTCACTTTGTCGCACTTGGTAGAGTGCCATGGCATCACATCTCACAGCAATCTCAAACTCTTGGGGTCAAGTGATTCTCTTGCCTCAGCCTCCCAGGTAGCTGGGACTATAGGAGCCCACCACAACACCCAGCTATTTTTAGAGATGGGGTCTCACTCTTGCTCAGGTTGGTCCCGAACGTATGAGCTCAGGCAATCCACCCGCCTTCACCTCCCAGAGTGCTAGGATTATAGCTGTAAGCCACTGTGCCCAGCCAGACTCACATTCTTATAAACCTTGAGGACTACTGGAGAAGGGTGGAAATCCATCTGGTACTCGTCCACCAGCACCGAGAGGCGCCGAATCTCCTCTGCCATTGCAGTCGACACCTACAGCAAAGGGAGGCAAAACATTAGATGTGGACAGGGACTGTGGTTCAGTCATGTGGCACCCAGGGCTATCCAGCAGACTGGCTGACTCTTTTCTCCAACCAGCAGTCTTCCCAGCTGACCCATGGTACCAAAGCCTTTAAGGTACAAGGACTGGAGAGACTGGCTGATCAAACACCATGACGCCTAGAGGAGGAGGCCACCAAAGGGGGATGTGCCCAGGGTCACACAAGACACTCAAGTGGACAAGGGGAGGCTCTGTGTTACTGGCCGCAACTTCCTTTCCGAGGGCTGAGAAGTAGCCTAGAAAGAGCTGGTGTTTTGCTTTCCCAGCACTGACTGAGTCCAAACCTCCCCGAGGTGCCTCTGCCTGGTTTCTCACCTGTCTTTCCACCTCTTCTGTAATCTGCTTAATTCGAAGTTTATAGTCCTGAGCCAAAAGCTCCAGCTGCTTGTCAATAAATCTCAGTCGGTCTTGCCGCTCTTCTCGCATTTCCAGGCAGTAAACCCTGAGAGGAAAGTACGCCAGTTGGAAACCCATGTTCCCACCTAATTATGCCTTACCTGTCGTGGGAGCTGTTATTAACTTAGGGTGCTTTTGAGCCTGGGGCCTCACGAAGCATGTTAACTCACACTCTTGACCTAATAAAACACCGTGGCCCCAACGAAAACATTTTACTGGCTCAGCATCTGTAGCTCAAGCCGCTAAGGCGCCAGCCACATACATTGAAGCTGGCGGTTCGAATCCAGCCCAGGCCTGCCAAACGACAATGACAATTATAACCAAATAATAGCTGTGTGTTGTGGTGGGCGCCTGTAGTCCTAGCTATTCAGGAGACTGAGGCAAGAGGATCACTTAAGCCCAAGAGTTTGAGGTTGCTGTGAGCAGTGACGCCACGGCACTCTACCCAGGGCAACAGCTTGAGACTCTGTCTCAAAAAAAAGAAAACGTTTTACTCCTAGTGTATAGCAGCGTGTCAAGCAGAGCAAAAGGAGCCCCAAGGCCACCCCACTCACTCTTCAGTCTTCCAAGTGGAAGGAGAGGTGGCATTGACTGAGCACGGAGGGTGCTCTAAGGAGGTTTACACAAGTCCTGCCAATTAATACAGAAAAAAGATGCTCAACCTCACCAATAATCAGGGAATTGAAATTATAAAGAGGTGCTACTTTCGCCTGAAGGGACAATGCCAGTGGTGCACTGAATGCACACAGCTGTAATGAAGGGCAAGCGGGTGAAACTGAGCAGAACCGGAGACACCTGCAGATGGAAGAACCACACCTCTAGGAAGAGATCCCAGACTGGCTCTCAAAGGTGCAAAGGCGGACACGAACACATGTCAGGTTTGCAACAGCAAAACAATCCAGAAACTAGCCAATAGGAAAACGAGGTGAAGAACAAGCTACGGAGTTCATATTGACAACCTGGAGGCTGGGCTGGTGGCTCAAGGCTCTAACCCTAGCGCTTTGGAAGCCAAGGCAAGAGGACCACTTGAGGCCAGGAGTTTGGGATGAGCCTAAGCAAGAGCGAGATCCTTTTTCTATTTTTGTAGAAAATAGAAAAATTAGCCAGAGATAAAGTGTTACGTGCCTGTAGTCCCAGATACTCAAGAGGCTGAGGCAGGAGGATCACTTGAGCCCAGGAGTTAGAGGATGCAGTGAGATGTCATCATGTCACACTGCTCTCTAGCCTGGGTGAGAGAGAGACCTAGTCTCAAAAACAAACATAAGCTTAGTGCACCAATGAGGATAAAAGGGAAAACAGCTGAGTGGAAAGAAAAGGTACAGTGACATACCCAGTGGGATACCACGTTTGTTTGTTTATTTTCTGAGACAGTCTGACTGTGTCACCCAGGCTATAGTGCTATGGCACTAGCGTAGCTCACAGCAACCTCAAACTCCTGGGCTCAAGTGATCCTCTTGCCTCTGCCACCTAAATAGCTGGGACTACAGGTGCCTGCCACAATGCCCGGCAAATTTTTTCTTATTTTTAGAGACTGGGTCTTACTTTTCCTAAGGCTGGTCTTGAACTCCTGAGTTCAAGGGATCTTCCTGTCTTAGCCTCCCAGAGTACTAGGATTACAGGCACAAGCTACCCTGCCCGGCCTCATATCTGTAGATTTAAAATGTATCCAAAGCAACATTATACACTCTTCAAGATTTATGTTAAGAGGTACTTTTTTTTTTTTTTTTTTTTTTTGAGACAGAGCCTCAAGCTGTCCCCCTGGGCAGAGTGCCGTGGCATTACAGCTCACAGCAACCTCCAACTC